ATCATCGGTATAATTTTGGCATTTTTGCTTGGCTTTGGTATGGGTGCCAACGACGTTTCAAATGCATTTGGTACATCGGTTGGAAGCAAAGTATTAACGCTACCAAAAGCATATATTTTAGCAACAATTTTTGAAACACTCGGAGCAATTCTTGTTGGTCTGTATTTGTCGCTTTTAAATATACAATTTCAATTTTTTCTGAAAATATATATATATATTTTCTGTTTTTTTTTAAGCCTTTTTTTTTGACATTTTTAAATATACCTGAAACATTTTTTTTTGCTCAGAAACACTTCAAAATGTCTTAGCATTCAGCAATAAACTCTGAATTAGTTACAGACAATTTAATTTTGTCAACAAAACTATTAACAAATTGTATATTCAAAAAAAAAGACGTACTTTTTGAAGGTTATAATGTAACGGATACAATGCGAAAAGGTGTTGTGGATACACAGTCATTTGCCAAAACACCAAAAACTTTACTGCTTGGACAAGTTGCTATACTTGGAGGTAATCAGTTGAAAAAAAAAAAACAGTTTCTGCTCTAGAAAAACGAAATAACAACAAATAAATGTCAAAAAATTCTTTTGTCTAAAACAACAGTTATCTTTCTTTGATCTGTTGCAATGGTTTATAGAGAGAGAAGAAGCCTGAAAAATTTAGCTAGGATAAAAAGTAATGTTGCTTAATGATTTTCTGGCAAAAAATACAACACTTTAATCTTCAATTACAGTTCAAACAAAAATTTAGTTTCAGATGCAAAAAAATGTCGAAGGTTTTTTTTTGTTCAGGTTGTTCTGCTTGGTTAATAATTGCAACTTTTGCTCGATTACCTGTATCCACCACACACAGTATAACCGGTGCTACACTTGGTTTTGGTTTGGTAATGAAAGGCTTTTCTGGTATACAGTGGAGAACTATCATTAATATTGGTAAATTAATTTTTTTTTTTTGGTAAATAACAATTGTGAATGCTAAAAAAAATAAGATTTTTTTCTGTTTTTAAATCTAATCTACAGTAATAATTTTTTTTTTTTGACTTTCAGTTTTATCATGGTTTATATCACCGATTTTCTCCGGCTTGGTTTCCTGTCTTCTGTATTTGATTGTTGACTGGACTGTTTTACGACAAGTAAACCATTTATTTCTTATTGCTAATCAACTGTTTTGTGTTTTTTTTATTGTTTCAATAAAAAATTTTCAAACATAAACAGTCAATAAATTAATTTTAA